TCTATTGATGGGAAGCGCCACCTATTGGAAACTAGGTCCAGCGTCCCATGAACATCGTCAATGAAGCACCTGTCTCTTATACACATCTAGATGTGTATAAGAGACAGTCTCCCCCCCTTCCCCTCCCCTGCTCCCCGCCCCTATTAACCCCATCCCCCCCCTCACCTCCCCCGCCCCTGCCTACCTGCCCTCCCCCCAATGGGTTGGAATCAGACGGTATACAGGTGGAACCGCAGGGGTCAGGTCCTTGCCAGGTGCCTGACCCGGGACACACCAGTTACCTACAAATCCACGGGAACTAGCCACACCAATGACAGATATATCCAGCAAACCGAGCAACACTGCAAGGTGGAAGATGGGCTGTGGACGCAGTTACGAAGAAAAGGAGCTAAAGACTCAGGATGGCATAACCAGGAGAAAGGGCATACCGGAGTCCAGCTGGGCAGGCAGGAACACAGCAGGACGAGAAGTTATAGCCCATGCAACGGCGTGGCAACACACTGCCTCAAGGACTCAGTCTGCAAGAGGAAGGCTGGGAACAGCCCTCGTTCAGCACGGAAGGCGCCAAGCCATCATGAACCATCCGGTGATGGAGAACAGAAGGGTTGAGGGTTTAAGGATGTATGAGGACACATATATAACATCACTTAATGAGGGGCTGAGGACACCCGGAATTGGCCTGGTATACACATGAGGACCGCGAGCCCCGAACACCGCACTTGGCGACTCTGGGTCTGAGTCGTGGCCTGAATGCATAGAGTTCCAAAAAGGGAAGGGAGGAGCAACATATGCAGCCCCGAGGTAGCATGGAGCTCTGAACTGTGAAACATGCAGGCCACAACCGAAACAAACCAAAACAAGAACTACAGAACCGACAATGCATGACACGGAACAGGATTAAGCTAGAGGTAGGCTGTTAGGTAGGCAAGCAGCTCAGACTGCTGCTTAGTGCTGCCTGCCAGAATTCCACCGTCACAGATGAGGCCAGGCCCTTCTTCTGGCTGTCATTACATCTGCATATTTGTTTGAAGAAGCAAACTGAATGTTCAGGGACGCTGGACCCGCTTTCCAGCAGGTGTTGCTCCCCCACCAATAGACGGAGCCTACTGGGAAACGCTAGTGGTGTCTGCTCTTACCAGCACCCCTAGCATTCTCCCGCGTTGTTTGTTTAAATAAAAAATTCCCTGCAGCCTAAGATAGAAGATATGGAAACAGTTTCAAACCACCAGTACACCTCTCATAAAATTTAGCTTCGTAGATAAAATGAATCGGCGGTGGGCGGCCTCTGAAAGGGACCCGTGGCCGATAGCTGGCATGTACTGGTGATTTAACAAGTACATCAGCAATCAGTTTGTCTGGTAAAAACTTAAAGAGGAAACTGCTCCGGAGTCACACTTTAAGTTTGAAATAGGCAGGAAAAAACAGGGCGTTGCAACTTCAAATCTGAGGAGTTCAAAAAGGCAAAAAGGACTGGACATGGCAGCCCTACCAGGGCTGTAGTTCGTTAGAGGCAAAAACAGCAGAAAAAGCGGGTGCCACACAGAGACCTACCCGGACCTTTGTCGACCTACCTACCGGAACCTCTGTAGACCACCAGGACCTGTGGACAGAGTAGCACCTACAAGGGTCAGGTCCCATCAGCAGCGTAGAGTTTCCTCAATGCCCGTATCTGGACTTGTTTGTGGAGATGTGGTGTTGAGGAAATATAACGCCATTTCTGCACATGGTGTTGAGGAAATATAACGCCAAAAAGAGAAAACTCTACCCTGCTGGTGGGGCCCTGTGGAGCCCACGTAGAGAGGGTGCCGGCTAATTTGAAACTGTGGCCGAATTAGTCCCGTGCGTCCTTACACACACACACACACACACACACACACACACACACACACACACACACACACACACGCACGCACGCGCGCGCGCGCACACACACAGAGTACAGTGTCCATGGCTACGGTCGTCCCCCGAACATAACGTGCGCTGGTAATGAATGCATACAAGCCATATGTACAGTCGGGTACCGGCCACATGAGGGTTCCCAACATGACTGTGTACGGGTGCGAATTTGTCCCAGGCGGACACGAGAGAGAGAGAGAGAGAGAGAGAGAGAGAGAGAGAGAGAGAGAGAGAGAG